TACTCCATTGTGTTTGTCGTGGGGGGAGCTGGCGAAGTGGTTAATTCGGTAGTGTCGGCTTAGGAGAGGGAACTGTTTGGTCCGGGTGTAATGAGTTTCCTGCAAGAGTAGTATGTCCGCCTTAGATCTGTTTGCCCAGCGCATTACTTGGTGCCGTTTGGTGGGGTTGTTTAGGCCCTTGCAGTTTATTGATAGGCAGGTCAGGGTGGTCGGCATGCTGGTGGGTGCGGTGTTGTTCTGCTGGTGTGTGCCTTCTTGTTGTAGTGGGTTTGGTTCTGAGTCTGTATGTTTGATGTACCTTGGGGAGGTGGGTGGAAGATGGGGGGGGGAGGTGGCAATGTAGGATGTAGGGCTGTGGGTGGGGGGGTGTTGGGGAAGGGGTAGATGGTTTAGATCCTGGTCTTACTAGTCTGTTGCCAGGAGATGGGCGAGCGGGAGGGTGTGCGAGTGTCTTTCTGTTGTAAGGGGTGTTGGTCTCCTCTAGTTCTCACTGTATGGTTGAGGTGAGATTAGTTGAGTTGGTTTGTGTGTTCGTGGGGGGGAGAATGGACTGTAAGCGTGCCCTTCGCTCCCCGCCCCGGGGTGTCTGCGTGGGTGCATCTCGGTGGGGTGTGATGTGTGGGTGGGGTTGGTCATATTGTGCGTTTGGATTGCTTTTGTGAGTACGTGGATGTACTGCAGCTTTAGTGGGGGTGAGTGTGTGACTGTCCCATGGTGTCGTTGTGTGCGTACCTGGTGAGTCGGTTTCGCAGGTCTAGGGGTTCTTGTGTGTTGTCATGATCGCCGGTCCTTTGTGTAGGTCAACTGTTGTACGGAGGGGGCTGGCCAGGATCTGTCCGTTAGCTGTAGGATCGTCCGCTTCCCTCATCACTGTTGGTTGGTGCTTGTTGTTGGTCTGTGGAGGGGGTGTTTTTGGACCGCTCTGAGGAGCCGTGTGTGGTATGGTACCTGTGTTTAATATACATGCACAGTAACATTTTATAATACATAGTAGTGGTTAGTTAAGTCTTGCGTGTGGGTTATATAATAAGTAGCATTGCGGTAATTTTTCTTGTTACTATCAAAGTCACATGCTGCCCTGGTATGCCTTGGACATGCCTTTCAACCTGAACCCATGTGCCGACATGTCTGTTGTGTGGCATCCTTTTTCTACCCCAGCAGTGCTTGTGGCTAGTAGCGGGGTCTGCATTTAGTCCCTTAGGTCTAGGTGTAGTAGCTTAGGGCCTCCTGTGACAGTCTACAGGTTGTGGCCCTGAGATTCAGTTGGGGACTGGGGCTAGCTGTGCGCACCGGGTAATATGTTAGCGTAACAGGTGAAACTGAACTAAGTATAGCTTTGGCGTGCTTGTGAGACATGTATACTGCTAGGCGACCCATGGCCTCTCGTGGGAGACGTCGTGGGTGGTCCAACCGTGCGGCTGAGGGGGGTGCTGTCCGCCACTCTGAGGTGGTGTGAAGTCCCTGAGTGCCCTGTCTACTCGGGGGCATTTTGTGCTTCGTTACGTAGTATATGTTAGCATGATAATTCAGGCTTGGTTGTTGAGTACCTGTTGGTTTGCAGTGGGAGATTTGTTTTTTAACTATCTGGGGGGGGTCGTGTGTTGCCCCTGAGGGCCTTGGTCGTACCTTCCAGAGGGGTTGCCTATGCTGCCATAGCTAACCTGCAGTATCCTATCTCAAGATTGTGCGGCGGGGTCTACTAGTTAACCCCTGCGTGCGGTTATTGCGTCGTATGGGCACTGTCTACGGCTTACGGGTGTTCAGCCTTGGGGGTGTATCGGGTCCTAGGCCCGGCAGTACGCTCAGATAAACATTCAAGTATAACGGGTGTATTTTAACAATATACAGCATTGAGATAACATTGAGATAACATTAGGGTAACATTGTGGTGTGCATACTACCAGTCTTTTAGAGTCCGTGGTTTGCGGCCTTGGGTTGGTTTCAGGTTCCCGGTATGGGGTTGGTGCCAGTAGCCGTCTTTTGAGTCTATCAGGTGTTCATGTCGTCTTGCTCTGATTACGTTGGCGGGGACCCTCGCTTAGGTTGCGGGCGTGTTGGGAGCGTATGGGGCCCTCCTCTGCGGCTCGCAGTCTCTTTCGTGGCTTGGTTGGGGTCTTGTGCTGGGTAGCGTAAGGTTATCCCAAGATGGTCGGCAAAGTCTTGCATATCTGCTACCTGATGGAGGGTGAATGATTGTTCCCCCTTTTTCGCCGACAATTTGAAGGGGTGTCCCCACATGTAGCGCCATCCGGCTTCGATCAAGGCTGTGGTAAGGGGCTTGAGCTCCCGGCGTTTCTTCAGTGTGGTCGGTGCTAAGTCCTGATAGAAGTGTATTTGTTGGTCTTGGTAGGTAGGCTGGTGGGCTCTTGCCGCTTTCATAAGCTGTTCTTTGACTGGAAAGTATAGGAGTTTCGTTATGATATCCCGTGGTGTGTTGGGGTTGTAGGTTGGGGGACGCAGGGCTCTGTGTGCCCTTTCTATGTATAATTCTTGATCTGAGGCGTTAGGGAGGAGGGACTGGAAGATTGCTTTGATTGTGGGGAGAATGGCGTCTGGAAGGACTGTTTCAGGTATGCCCCTGATGCGTTTATTTTGTCTGCGGGATCTGTTATTGAGGTCCTCCAGTCCGTCTTCAAGGTAGAGCATTCTGTCTTGCAGGAGCTCTGTGTCCTTGTGGAGGGCTGTGGTTTTTGTTTGGGTGTCCTTTATCAGGCGTTCATTGTGGTCTGTTCGTGAGGTCAGTACCTCCAGCTCTTTCTTGAGGCCTGTGATTTGTTTCTCCAGGGCTGCTGCAGTGTAGGCTTTGATGTCTGCTGATGTCTCCCTGAGCATGGCCCGGAGGTCCTCTTTGGTGAGGGGGGTGGCCGGGGTTTTTTCTGCTTCGCTCCCCTCTGAGTCTGAGCCGGAGTCTGCCTGGCTGTGGGCCAAAGATGGCCGCCCGTCTTCTTTGGCGCGAAACATCGTCGCCACCGACGGCGTGGATTCCTTCCGTTTTTTGTTTCCCCCCATTGGTAAGAGGTGTATGGGGTCTTTGGGGGCCTGTGGGAGGCGTTTGGGGGCGAGATGCACCTGGTAGCCGGCTGATGTGCGCGGGTATTTCGGCCGGGGCGGGAGAGCTGCAGGCCCGTGCGTCTTACTCCATTGAAGGTTAGGCTCCGCCTCCCAGCTGATTGTTTATTTTAAGAGCCGAGTAGAAAATTAAGAAAGTTACCTTGTTGAACAAATTGTTTATAAAATGAAAAACTGAAGGAATGTGTTTACATGTCTGTGTGTGTGTGTGTGTGTGTGTGTGTGTATATATATATATATATATAATCTCCTTTTCAGATGTAGCAGAAACCAGAGGTGGACATTGGAACACAGATAGAATATCAGATGGAGACCAGTGTTTAAATGTTGACCTTTGATGAGCTATTGAATGTTTTTTATTTTATTGTCTATTTAACATGTCTATGCTATGATTTTGTGCATACTATTCTCTTATTTCTAGTGATTGTATTGCAATTGAAACCCTTATGTATTATTGTTGTATGTATGTATGTATGCTTGCCTGGGAAAGGGGGGAATTGACCCATAGGGACCAGGGGGTATTTTTGTGTAAACCAAACTGGGGTGGGAGGGCTCTAACGAGGGAACCCCATTGTCCAGTAGGTGCTTGATTTGTGTCTGTGTAAAGTGCATGAGTGGTTGCAGTTCAAAAAAAAAAAAAAACAAAAAACGGAAGAATGATAAGAGGGATAAGAGAAAGTAGGCATTTTGGGTTATCTATACATGTTTAAATAGAAGGGTGGTAAATAGGAATGTAATTGTTTTGGTTAATGTTTAGATTAAATTGGTTAAATACAGCAGTGATAACGAGTGTTTAGATTAAATTGGTAAATGCAGCAGTAATAATGAGTGTTTGGGTTAAATTGGTAGATACAGCAGTGATATTGTGTTTATCTGTGAATCAGGAGTGTGCTGGATGTGAAGAGAGGTGTGTAGGTATTTATCCAAACGCCATAGGAAAAAATATGGTTAAGACACCACAATCAAATGGTACTTGTGAAGATTGGCACAGTTATTATTTATGTTTGTGTTCGTCATTGCCTGTGTTTTCATTCAAGAACTTTCAAGCAAGGATATTTTAAGCAGAAGAAGAAGAAGCACTGGACACAATGCTCAACTGTTGCTGTAAGGAGAAAAAATATTGCAGCTAAGTGTGGTGAGAGTCGGAAAAAATGCATCAGGAGCAGGACACTGTTACGTCAAGGTGGTTAATGGTATAAAGAAAGAAAAAACAAAACAATGTGACCACAAACACACAAAAGTCCTTGATCACATGAACTGTTTCATTCATCCCTGTCTCCATGCGTATGTTCTATGAAACTGTCGAAGAACAGAGTATCCAGTTTCCAGGACTAATGTTTGTGAAAATTCCAGGCACACAGACCAGCCAGAGGCTACAGAAATCGAGTCGGTCTGTGCCATGATTAATAGGTGTTATGAGTTTGTGGTGTCTAATACTATATTAAGCTCCAAAACACATCCTCACATGAACACAATATCATTGGTTAATCTAATAAAACATGGTTTGAGTTGTTCATTATTATAAGGGTGGGTATGTGCCTACTTCCCAACTGGTAATGCATGTGCTCAATGGTGAACATTTATATAAGCAATAAAATGTTAATGGGTAATAATTAACGGGTAAATGGGTATCGTTATTCAAAAGGTGGGTTTTGTTGTAGGGCAGGTAGTGTTAAAATGGGGAATATTCAAAATGTACTGGTTTTATAAATGCTTGTTTTATGACATAAGTCAAAGGGTGGTTTGTAATGGTATTTACTAATTAATGACTTTACATCATAAAGAAAGCATATTTAGTGTAATGCTTTGGGGGCACCACTAGGGGCAGTGTGTAGGAAGACATATGCTTCTGGCAGTGACATCACAGGCCAGCCTACTTACACTGAATAAAACCAGATGGAGGAGAAAACTCTGTCCCTTTGCCTGTAACTGACTGAACCTAAGATGTAGTACCAGCTCTGACTTAACCCCAGCCAAAGGGCTGGGGCCTTGTAAGTAAAATGAACATTTAGCCTTTTGTGTAACATGTAGCAACCTTTTGTAAGTAATATGTTGTAGTTTTGTATTGTATCATAATTGTAGTAAATTGACATTCTCCTAGCATCTGTTTATTTGTTATAGTTATATTAAATATACATTTAATATTACAACGTTTTGTGTATTTTCTATCCACATATTCGACCATAATACCATGAATTATAAAAATATTAATGTTCCGAATTGCTTACTTATTATGTATTAAGAGATTAATATTCATATTTAGGTCACGACCACAACACCCTCATTAAAGTAGTTTCCTGTTTTACCCTCAAGACGGAGCTTAGTCTTGTGTTTGGGGGGATTACTACTTGGAAGTATTTATTTTGCCTGTTTTAGCTGTGGAAGGAGTTTGGCTGATTATTCGTGGATTTACCACATTCCCTTGCCCTCCGTTCAGGAGTTTGGCGGTCTGCTGTATAGAGGCTGTGTCTCTAAAATATAAAGCTCAGTGTTAGTGATGTATAAGTACATATAATAATATAAAGTGCAGTCAACAACAACAACAACAACAACGTGCACTGATACAATAGGGTACAATAAAATACAAAAACAATATTTACAAAATTTAACATAGAACAGGTAGGAAATATATAATCAACCATGACATGTGCATTCTGTTTTGAGATATGTAGAGAAGGATCTCTTAAAGGACTTTAGACCTATGGTCGTTCCATAATTGTGGTGCTCTGTAGGAAAAGGAGGATCAAGCTTTCTTGGTGGGAACAGCATTCTTCTCATGTAGGGTGTGTAACGGACCATTTCAGCACACAAGGGGTTAAAACCATTTAGGCGATCGTCCCCTTCCAGAGACACAGGCACAGCTACTGCAGAACACCAATCCGCCGAACAGGAAACCATACGAATGCTGTAAACAGCCGAATAGGAAAAACCATACGAATAGGTTTACACTCCTAGCAGTCGAACTGGAACAGCATACAATAAATCCCCCCAAGAACGAGACAAAGCTCCGTGTTGAGGGTCAAGCAGTGAACAGACAGAGCTGTGGGTTTATTGTGCTTATGTACACATTCTTACACATTAGTACCACCCACAGGGTTTTGGAACACAACCAATAAACACATACAATACACTCAGACACTCCCACACAAATTCCTCCCCTCTGCATGTGATTCAATTACCTTACACAATGGGTAATGTAATTTAGCACAAGCACAGAAATACAATTTTTCCACATTATTCATAACTTGAAAAGTATGCATCACATTCACATAAAACTTACATTTTCAGAATCAGCATACTCCAAATACAAACCGGAAGCATGGCTTTTCTGCTCAAAACCAGTTCCGCAGAGTCTTCTATCCTGGAGATAATTGGAAAGTAATCCAATTATCTCCAAAGACAGAGGCAAAACTCCATTGAACACATGGCAGCAAAAAGACCGTAAAATACAATAAAATACACAAGGTTACATTTATGACATAAAATACAGACATGCAACATATGCCCAGATAGCTTAGGTTTGAGCGCACATTATTACTGAATGTCACTCAGAGCACACACATACAGTTCAATTGCCATGGAGCCAAAGTCTTTCCCATAGTCTTTCATTATACGAATGGGCTCCATGGCATAGCTATCTGGGGTATCACTGCTCTAACAGGGCAAGCACCAAATTACCCGGCTTTCTTGTCTTTGCAGGGGAAAATCAAGCCTTTTAACATGGGGCCATAATCCAAAGGCAACAGGCGAGCAACCAGGCTCCTCCAATGCAATGTGGCGAGATTGCTCTCGTCACAGGGTGCTTCCCAGAAAAGATCTTAAACACAAGGCTGGAGAGATGAAGGGTGCGTCTGGATTCCAGCGACAGCCAGTTTAGTTATTTTAGCATGTCACAATGGTGGGTCCTGTAATTACGTTGTAGCACAAATCGGCAGAACGAGTTATACAATGTATTAAGTTTATTAATGTGGGATTGCGATGTTGATGCATATACTACATCCCCATAATCAATGATTGGCATCAGCATTTGCAGTACACTCTTTTCCTTCACTGTAAGGCTTAGGCAGGATTTGTTTCTGTACAGGGCACCTAGTTTTGGATAAAGTTTAGATGCAAATTTTTCTATGTGGAGGCCAAACAATAGATTGGGGTCTAACGACATACCCAAGTATTTGAAAGAGTGGACTGCGGTCAGTGTGCTATTTCATTTTGTTTTGATGGATAGCTAGTGTAATTTATAGTGTATAGTGTAATTTGTGTAATTTAGGTACTGTTCCAAAGATCATTGTGACAGTTTTGTTAGTGTTTAGGAAGAGTTTGCTTTTTGTGATCCACTTTTCTACCTCTGAAGTAGTCTTGGAGCAGAGCCTCAAGCTGCGTATTTGCTTGCATAAATTACTGTGTCGCCTGCGTACATGTGTACATTTAAGGGTTTGCAAACATTAGGCAGATCATTTATAAATAAATGTGAATAGTAGGGGGCCGAGAATGGAACCTTGGGGAACACCACACGTGACTAGGAGAGGGAGGGAGTCACTGTCAGAAATGGACACATATTGCGATCGATCTGATACAAATGATCGAAACCAGGTTAGCGAACAATCACCAATACCTGAGTTTTTGAGTTTGTGCAGTAGAATGTTGTGGTCTACTGTGTCAAAGGCATTTGCAAAATCAAGGAAAATAGCTCCAGCTAGGTCTCCTTGTTCCAGAGGGCAGTTATAGTGGAGTGATTCGGGCGAAAACCTGAGTGATCAGGGGTTACATAGTTAGATTGTTGGTAATACTCATATAGTTGCATATGGACAAATTTTTCTAAGATTTTTGACAATACTGGGAGCAGTGATGTAAATTAGAAGATAAATGTAAGTCACATTATTAGTGATGTAGAATACTATATAATATAAAGCACAGTGTTAGTAATTTATAATATATTAATATAAATCACATTATTAGTGATGTATAATAATATAAAGCACAGTGTCAGTGATGTATAATAAATATAAAGCACAGTACATAGGCGTGCGCACGGGGTGTGCCGGGTGTGCCTGGGCACACCCTAATCCCCGCGGCACGCCTATGTATATTGAGACCGGCAGGGGAGATCTCAGGATCTCCCCTGTCGGCTCATGCAGAGCCGGCGCTATCAGAGCGCTGGCTCTGCTCTCAGCCTCCCTCCCCACAACCCGCAGGGAGGGAGGCAGGAGACGACCGGCGGAGCTCTTGCCAGTAGCTCCGCCGGGTTCCTCTCGCGGGATTCTGAGCGTTGCCACAGCAACGCTCAGATCTCGTGAGAGTGAACTCTAGCCCCGCAGGCTAGAGTTCACCCTCCACTGGACCACCAGGGAAGGCAGGAGCAGAAATTATCCCCCCTCCCAGGCATACTGTAAGAAGGGAGGGGGATATTAAGCAATCTGCCC